GTGTGTTAAATGGAGAGAGAACTATGCATTGTTTCTAGTATTATTACAGGTCGTAACTCACCTTCCATTGTATTTTCCAGATGCGTTCATCAGTTGGTCTTCTTCTTGAGAGAGGCTCAAGTTCTCAGATTGGAGCTTTGAATGCACCAGCTCCATCGGCTCCACATGCTACACAAGCTCCACATGCTGCACAAGGTCCACCTGCGGCACAAGCTCCACCTGCTGGGGAGGAGATTGCGCTTCAGCAGTGTTATTCTCGAGTGCTGCATCCATCTCGACAAAACGGTGCAAAATGGTACTTAACTTTATTTAAACTCTCTATTTCATAGAAAAACTATAAACCTAAAGAATTTAACTACATTTGCAACAGGTTCGATCATGATACTCCAATATCAACATGTGTCCGAAAAGTCATTGAAGGAAGTTTCAAGGGGCCATGGTACAGTTGGTCAAAGGTGCCACTATTTTACAAAGAAGCATGGTATTCTACTTTCAAGGTTTGTTTTAAACTTTTAATTAACATCCATCTAATATTTTTCAGATTGGTTTAATACTTCACATATATATGATATTATTATATGTATTTTAGACAAGGTATGAGTGGGATCCTGCGATTGAGCATTTGGTTAAAACCAACTTTGACAAGCTTGCTGCCAGTCGCCTCAGAGGAATGGTTTCCCTTGCGAAGTCCAGAGGAGTAAAACCTGAGTGGATTCTGTTGGAGCATTAGACTCTGATGTTAGCTCATTAGAGGACACCAGAAGCCATACAGAAAAGTGGAAAAGCCCGTGCTTCTCGGATGTCTGACCGTTATGGTTTAGGTGTTTATCGACACAGAGCTGGGTCTCGTTCTTATTTGAAAGTGCAAGATGGTTTGGTAGTGCTTCATTTTCGTTAACTTTTCCATTGTTCTTTTTTTACAATATTGATAGTTGTTACTGTTTTGTTTGTAGGTGGCAAACAATGAGGACGCTTCCTACATTGCCGTGATGAAAAAGACTCACCAGAAACCCGACAGTACATACGTGGATGAAAGAGCCCGTATAATTGCTGAAAAATATGAGGAGCTTGTGCAAGAATACCTGTCACAGCTGGAGTCATCCAATTCCAATGGAGAGCTGTTGACTATTGATGCTCTTACCTTAGAAGAGAAGAATGAGATCTATGTTAAGGTAATATCTAATCTCCTATTGTTATCTTAATAACTATTGAGTGATAGTTAGCTAGTTCAGTTTGTTAATCTCTCTTTGCTAAGATCATAGATACGTGTTCTGTTTATATTACTAAGGTAGCTTCATTAGATACATATAAGGAATCTGATATTATATATGTTTTATCATTTGAAACATGTTACTTAGGTAGCTTCATTATTGAGGTGATGATGATAAGTGTTCTGTTTGTTGATATTATTGTTGTACTTAGGTAGCTTCATTATTCATGGTTTAGTTTAATAAAATTATACTTAACTTTAAAAGAAAAAGATAAAAGTTATACACATTTCGCATTGTTCATGAACTTGTGTCTTTTGTAGATTGCTGGAATTTCAAAACAAGGTCGTGTATTCGGCATCGGATCAATTCAAAGTGGCGCTATGTCTTTAGGTACTTCTCCAGATTCTTCACAAGCTGTTGAAGATGCTGGAACGTTAACTCGACGAGTCGAAGAGCTGGAAAGTGAATTGAAGACGAGTCTTGATGAGAATGTGCTCTTTCGAAAGCGATTTGAGACCATGGAGCAACTAGTTCAATCTCTTTCAGGTCAGAATATCAATTCTTCTTCAGGAACTTCGGCTTCTACTCCACCATGATGAACTTTTGTTTCTCTGTAAGTTGTCATGAGAAACAACTTGGTTCTCACACTTTCTAGTTTGTTCA